AAAAGTACAATAAGTACCTCTAAGTAGTGACTGTCCTAGACTACTTCCTGAAATTGCATCTGGATATTTTACAAGAAGGCATAATGGTAATAGCAAACTGTTTACAGCTGTTTGCAAATCTCATGGCAAGGCAGAGAGGACTTGATTTTCAAAGGCACGCAGAAGTACAAAGAACAGTTTAAAGCAGCAGTGCTCGGGCCCACATCCTAAGCTCTCTGAATGACAAAATAGGTGGCCTTTACCACCTTGCCATGCCTAGCAGTAGGATCCAGAAGAACCTCAATTGCTCTCTTCTTGCATTAGAATGGCTGCCCAGGAATGGTGAAGTCACCGTCCCTGACAGTGTCTCATCTCCAGTGACTTCACCATTGCTGACAGTTCAAGAAACATATAGATGAGGCACTGAGGGACATGGTTTAGCAGGCATAATGGTGATGGGTTTACGGTTGGACTTGATGATCTTGAAGGTCTTTCCCAAACACAAAGATTCTATGATTCCTGATAAACAAAAGCTAAGGACAGGGGATAAGCATCTAGGCCATGCGGAGCTCCACTCTGGTCCCAGTCCCCAGAGCATCGGTTCCAATGGCCTTATAGAAATGCAGCAAGCGAATGTCCTGAACATGTCACCTGCCAAACTTGCTTACCCTAAATAAAAGGTCTACTCTTTCAAAGAGTAAGATTATCTCCAGCTGGAGTCAGGAAGAGATACTGCCTAATGGTACAGTTGCATGTGATTGTGTTTTGAAGTTTTATAACTTCCTCCAAACCATTCAGGATTAGCCACTGCCAGAGACAGTGTAGCAGGTGAAACAAGCTGTTGATCATATGACAATCTGATCTTTATTTGATCTGCAGTGACAGAGAAGACACAAGCCTTCCCACCTTTGCCTACAGGCAAAACCCATGATCTGAACAGCTCCTCTCTTTACAAAAAGTTTTGTCATGACACTGGTTAAGTGTCAGTCAAACAGCTAAAAACATTATTAAACACGGGAAGAGTTAGGGAAATCACACAATCATAGAACAGATATGTAGACTCTAGCGATGACTTCTCTCTCACAGGTTAAATAAATTGGTTTTGGCTCTTCTCGCAAAAACATGATCACCGCTTACAAAGCTCTAATAAAATATGGTTTAACAAAAGAGAAAGACTACACATTTTAGATAAGTATTTAAAATCAATACTTAAAAGCATTTATGTACAGTTAGATATGGTTAAAACTTAGGTTGATGGTGGTAGCTACTGTGACTGTCATACTGGTTAATCGTTCTCTTTGGGTAAAAGTCAGCTGCTCTCACTTAGAGCTTCTGGAAGATATTTGTTGAAGATATTTGTTTGTCTTTATGCTCAGTAAGAGAGGCAATTCACTTCTTCTGGAGACTTGTATGTAGATCAAATTCTTACTTCATCCTTTTAACCAAAGGAAGCCTAAGCTGATCAGCTCAGACTTTGAAATATGACTTTTAGATCTCTTACTTGTCTCTGTTTTGCCCATGAATTCCATGATGGGGCTCATGGTAACTTAAAGAGAGCCTCATTATACAGTTGTTAAATTGTTGGCATTGATTTTCAGTTGCACAGAAAATTTGGGGGGAATAGCACTACAGTCTGCTGCTAGATGAAGATTTCTTCCATAAATATATCTGCACAGCTAAGGCAAAAGATCCAGTTTGTCCAGTAACATGCCTCTGATAGTGAGCAGTGTTGGACATATTCCTCCACATTCCAGCCATTCCATCCTCCAGTTTCCAGCCATTAGCAGCCCAGGAACTGTTTGCTACCAAGAGGTCTCTGAGCACTGTGTCAAACCTTGAGATATCCTACTTAATTCCTTATCACTGCTGAAAATCACTATGTTTTTATCTGAAGCAGGGCTTCAGATACCATGTAAATACAGAGATGTTTTGCACTACCATTAAAGGATGATTGTTGCCTCTTCTGAACTTCTTAATCATCTATCTTCAGAGTCTAACTTCACATCTTCAGTGAAGCTGAAGAAACAGAAGATGACTTAGAAGGATATGGCAGGTTAACTGCGGTCTATCAATTACCCGGCAGAGATTTATAATGAATTTTTGTTTCCAACCAACATAAAAGACCCTTCTATACTCTCTTACACCTTTTCCCCCACAGCAGTTACTGCTGTATCAGGTGACTTTAGCACATGAAGTGAATAAGAATATGCTGACAATATTGGGGCAAGAGTTTCCAGCCAAGCCTGGCACACTAGAACAATGATTTCTTTAATCTTCTGCAGCAGTTTGCAGAAGGTGGAAAAAGATACAGTCACCTCTATTATAGACTCAATAAATATCTAAAGACTGCAACAGGAGACTGGCTGCTGAGCCTAGTTCATCTCTGCTTAGAGTCAGAATTTCCTTGCTGTCAGGAATTTCCAAGGTTATTTTGACAACAGAAGTTGCTTGGATTCAGACCAAGTTGTCTACATCTGTGATTGCAAAGCAGTATCTTGGGAAGACAGATGTTTAGCTTTTTTGGCTTGATTTTCAGTTAGTGTTGTTCAGGAAGTTCTGGAGGCACTGCAGAAGCTAAAACCTGGGCACCTGCACTTCATGTCCAATGAGTTAGCAGAAATACTCAGGACTCTTTTGAAGTGGGTACCATGGGGAGGTCATGACTTTCTTCAAGGGAAAAAACTGCAAGGCATCTGTTCAACAACAAATCTTTCAAGGTAAATCTTGCCAAGAGCAAATCTGTTCAAATCTTTCTTTTCTTCAGGATGAATTGTTCATTTCTTTGTGGCAAAATAAACTTGGTGATATCCAGACACCTGAGATTTTGGGCCCAATTTTTGTTTTTAATGTGTGTACATATGTACATCATATATATATGTATGTATGTGCGTGTGTATTATGTATGTGTACATATATCTTCTGTTAGTTTCCCTCAAGCCCATATTTAACCTGAGAGGATATGATGACATGTATTGTCCTTTACCATGGTCAAAGCAATGTCTCTCGTGCTGTTTTACCTCTTTTTAGGATGCCATATTGGGCTCACGTAGTGCATCTATGCTGCCCAAAGGAAACCATGATGTTCTGTTCTACTCCTTCATTTGCCATTGGGAAGAATAGCTAAATAGCTCACCAATACTCCACCTCTACTTTCTATAATACATTATATAGGGAAAATAAATGAGGAACTGAGAGGAGGGAGGGGCTTGTTTGTGTTCTCTCTGCCCAAGAATCTATACAGATGCAGAGCATATGCTATTAATTTAGCTACAAGGAAAAGACTAATGAAATGTTTTTAGAACTAAAGTATTTATTTTTGCTGGATTTTAATTGATTTGCTTATATTTAATTCTGCATGTCTCTGAAAATTTATCTTTATTTCCACAGATATAGTAATGTGCATGGGGTTGGTCTAGATAGCGATCAAAATATTGCTGTATTAAATTTGTACGTATATGCCAAGCTCTGCTCAAATGTCCCTCAAGAGAGTCAAAGCTTTAAAACCTTTAATAAGTTTTAATTAAGTATGAGAGCTACCCAGACTGCAGAGAAAACCCTTCTAAATATAGACATCTTGAACATCACGCAAAGACTGAACAGTCAGTTGCCCTAAGCAATGGCTAGCCATATGGAAGAAATTGCCCAGATTACTTGCATATTCTGGCTTAGTCCAGGAAACCTCTAGGCCTTACTACATAAAGACAAACTTCCCGATAAAATATTAAGTCCTAAAATATTCAACTGAAAACAGATTCTGGGAACAGATGGACCCAATCTTTGTATTCCTACTGTATAGAGGTGGGCTGAAAGCGAGGTGAGAATGAAAACTGTGCTTTTACTTCCTTGGGCCTCTTCTTTTTTTTTTTCTGATTTTGGGTTCCTGATTACTCAGTGAATTATTTAAGAGAAGTGTATTTGGCCAGAGTATCATTAGTCAAACTAACAGCTGACCAATATGACACTGACAACCAGAAATGTCCTAAGCAGTACCCAAAGGGACAGTAGGGTGCATCTCAGCACCACGTTCCAAGGATGCACTGCTTGGCATCGCCCTTCTCTGGTTTACCAAACTTGTTTCACAGTTAAAACAGGAGGCTACTCTGCTGACAGCTAGGCAGCCTAAATCTAATCTAGATACTTCTGAAATGGTGGCAAGAATCACAGTTTCTTGTGACCTGGCACACAGCAGAAGTAACGTGCTTGCCCATCACATGGGAAAAGAATGCCAAGCACAGGCACTAAATGCTAAATGAAAACAAATACAAATCCAGGGGGTAAGAGGAACTGTTCTTTTGACTTTTTATTTCTTTACATACACATATATATATACATACTATATATATATTGCTTTTTACTTCATATATTAACTATTAACTACTAAAAGCAGAAATCTTCAAGCTTTGAAAAATATTAATGGAGTGTGTGTATTTGGAACACTCAGAACACTCTCCCCTTCCCCCCAAGCAAGCAAACACATAATGGGACAAAATACTATCTTCCAGAAGTGATTTTAACCCTAAAATGAGCATGAAAGAATAAGTAGTTTTTAACAGAGAAAAATATTATCATTGCAGCTGAGGAGCACTTGAAAATAAAACTCATGAAAGCATTTTAAATATCAGAAATTAGGACAAAAACATGCAGGGACTGTGAGAAAATATTACTCAGTGATAGAAAGATTTTAAAAATTGAGCCTTAAATGTAAAATATTTGTGTAACAGGTTGTCTCATTATGAGATCATTTCTAAGGTAGATGATAGCAACTGAGCAGGAAAAGAAAAACATACAGTTTTCTGAAGGTCTTGTTTCAGTTGTTAAAGCACAGCAAGATGGACAGATGTGCATTTCTAGAAGGTAGGTGAATATCATTATGATCGAAATAGAACTGGCAGGGAAATGGGAAAAGGCTAACAGGGTAAGTAATGAAATACATCAGAGAGAAATCAGTTCCCCTGGTTTGACTTCTGGGCGGCTCCTGCTCTTGAGGAATAATACATCGAAAAGTATCAAATGCTGCTTACCTTTCAATTTTTCAGCCAGCAAAGCAGCTTCGTGTTCAGAATAATGCATTATTGCTGGGGGAGAAGGAGGGCGCAGCCTGTCCTCTTCCATTTTGCGTCTGTGGCGCTCTTCCCTGGCCAGCATTCTTTGCTTGCATTCCCATTCATAAAAGTCATCTCTTGCCTGAGCAAAATCAACATGAAGGCGACCTGAATCCTTTTTGTCTGTGCTAGATCCTAATCTCATGCGGTAACCTGAAACCAACAAGCAGAACTAACTGTTGGCAGGACTTCTTTGCTATTTTTTCCCCTTTTTTTTTCCTCAAGTGAAATTAAGTAAAAAATACATTCACATATTCCCACTTATCTACGCAGAATCTGTCAATCATTTCACTTTCACAGGAAGATAAACATTCATCAGGTTTTTTCCCTTGTGATTTTCTAAATTGCGTATCAATAGAGTAGGTAGCTGAAAGAAGTAGTACCAAAAATACAGAAGCTTCATTAAAGCTAAAATGTTTCTCAGAATATGTCATTATTTTACCTGATACTCCTAACCCTTATAAATGCAAAGGCTATTTAAAAAGACAAATAAAACAAGCATTCCCCCACTAAAAACTGATTAAATTTGTTTTGGATGTGAAGTCCCTCTTCCCCTAATCCTGTTTACATCAGGTACGGTTTAGTTCTATTAACCAGCCTTTCAAGGCAATTAAAAATATGGGAAAAGACTGAAATTTAGGAAAATCCTGACCACAGATGAATGAGAAAATTGAGCTAGATAAGCTACTAGGTCACATAGAAAGCTGGGTCATGCCTGTGTTGATGACAAAGCTCAATTTTTGAGGCTTACCAGTTGTAAACACCACATCACAAAAATCTCCAGCAAATTTAAAATTACTTTAAAGAATGCGGAAATTCATTGTTTTTTAGACTGGCTGTATGCCAAATTAATTTGAAGATGGCTTATATTTGCTGGAGATTCAAACTAAGTTTGAAGCAGTTTATATGCACATGACTTCCTTGTGATCAGAGTGTGAAATCTATTGTGTCCCACCTTCAGCAATGTTCTACATATTCATAATTTGGTCAATGGATCTTCTGCTAAAGCAAGCAGCTGCAACGACATGGTTTAATTCAGGGGCTGTACAATAGCATAAAAGGGCTCTGCTCTGAACTAAAACCCTTGACTGCTATCAGAAGGCAGATCAAATCATGCCAAAGCAATAGAAGCCTTTTGCAACCACACTGTGGACGAATATACTTTGGGCACCAATCCTTTTTCACGTTTTATTTTCAAGGATGAAAGATACTGGCAGAGAAATTTCTCTAGCTTTTAACTCACTGATTCATGGGGAATGTAAGAGGATGCTAAGGAGAGAGCTGTAAACAGAGTCTCCGACTACAGGTAAAATCAATCAGTCCTCACAGGGCCAGCCCAAATTTCTCTCTGCCAACCCACTGCAGTAGCCTCAGAATCAGAATAGCCCAACAGAGATGTCTCAAATCACAGGATGCTGGGGACTTGTAGTCCCTGCTGAGCTGGCATATAGTAGGCTTTACAGAAATACACACGACTACAACCACTATATAATAACTCTAGGGACAGGAAACTTCTGCTTGAAATGACAGGAAAAATGTTATTTGCTATTTCAAACAGCAACCCCAAAGATTCTACCTTTCAGTCTACAGTTTAAATAATTGTCTCTGGTTTAAAGAATTTCAACGCTTTGCCACCACAGTTTAAACTCAATTTCTCACTCTCTCTGGAGACAGCCAAGTTAAGGTTTGTGTAGGCTGTGATGGCAGATTTGGGGCACCTTTGCAAAAATGCATACCTAGGTTTCTTCTGCTTTTCTGCTGTAAGAGCATCTCACTGTATGAAGACAAGGGACTAACTGTACTACAGCACACGAGACAATGGCTTCAAAGACCATTAAATATCCATATGTAATGAGCCTCGACAAAAAACTTCTCAGTGTCTTTTACTTTGACACTTTCCTTTCAAACACCTTGTGGAGTTCAATTAAATAGCCTGTCAATGAGGAAGAGGTATGACTTTCAATATCCAGTAAGTACTACACACCCAGATGGAGAACTCCTCAGTATAATGTGAGAAATAAAAAGGCCCCTCAAGGACAGAAAACAACAAAGACTTCTATGGAACTGGTCAAATCTATGAAGACTTAAGGTTTGTGAGCTGGGACAAAGCAGGCCTGAGTGTAACAAGATAGCAAGCAAATGATTTGTTTGCTGATTTAAGCTTCCCTCTTTTTACTCTGGTTTCTAGTGCTCTGAACAGTAAAAACAACCCTGCGTCCCTCCCTGAGAATGCTGCTTATTGTCCAATATGTGGCTCTAGTTACAAGGTCTTTAAAGGACAAATTACAGATACACCATATTCAGTGAGATAAGTTAGAAGAAGGGTGGGGACGACCTTTCAGAATTGGGCCCTGAACTAGTAATGAGTGGATAATTATGTGTTTTTATCCACAGAGGTGTAGGCATGAAGGGGTGAGCCAAAAGGGGTTACTGATGCAGCTATCCTGATAACTGTGGCAAATGTTACCCCCCGGTTTGGGTCCCTGGTTGCATTCCTCAAATAGTGACTGTTCTGAGCCAAAAGAGTGTTATCAGCAATGTGAAAAGGACATTGCTGGGTCTCATGAACCTAAAATTAGACTTCCCACTTAGGCGGTGCTTTTCAGGAAGTTACACTCTCTCCTGTATCAGAAGCCCTCTGGGTATAGACAGGCTAAGACACAGGTTGTTCAGGGCTTTGCAACTTCCCCTTAATGAACAAGCAGATGCCCCTTTCACACAGCTTCTTACAGCCTTCAAAATCAAGCTTAGAGGAAATCACAGTACGAATATCCTTTCCAGTGAAAAGCAGACTCTTTGATAGGTTGATGTCCATCCAGACTCTGTGTGGGAACAGATGCCAAACATCATGTTCTTGTGCACGGGATCCCCAGAAGCCCGTATATAATAGCAGGTCTGAACCACAGGGCAGCTGAAGTCTTTCTGTTTTCCAAAGCCGTGTATCCTTATTGATGTTCAAGGGTATTTTATATGAGAGAACAACCTGTCATTTCACACCCCTTCATGCATGGGCAATGAATTGCCCTTACAGAACCTTTCTCCCAGCCCTTTGCTCAGGACTGCAGCTAGCACTAACTGTGTGTCTGGCCTGTCATTTCTAATTTCAGTTTCACACACACATGGAAGAGGAAAAGATCCTGGGAACTTGCCAACATCCTCACCTTAAAGGAACACAAAAGGAAAAGTTAATGAGAGTGGTAAATTAAAACTAAGCACAGTATTTCTGTATCTCAGATCTAGTAAATACTCCATGGCTTGACTTATCTTTAAGTGTTGCTATATGGGGGAGCAGTAGTCAATAGATGTTCCCTATCTGGGAATATAGATCAGCATGCTGAGGTATACACATGCCCTTGAGAGCATAAAAATAAAGTCAGTACACAGTACTGAATGGAAACCCACACGGGAAAGTAACAGTGCATGAGAAATGCATGTTCGGGCTTTTGAGGTTTAAATTGGTCTGCCTCAAACATCCTTTTTGTCCCATCGTCCAAATCTAGGGCCATCAATATTTTTAAGTTACTGAATTGTCAGCTACAAGAGCAAAGCATGTACAGCTTGGAAAAGGAGCTTCCTCAGGGGAAGCCTGTAGATTTTAGATGTTTAGATTTTAGAAACTCTTTTCCTCTGGATATCAAAATACAACTTTCAGAACTAAATAAAAATATCCCTTCCTCAGGTTAGCTCTTTTATCATAGTCTCCCACCCATTTTCCAATCTCCTTTTCATATGCGTTTACTTGAGGAAGGAAGAAAACGGTGATTAGACTACTTAATGAATTCTGTAATCACAAACACTATTCTCACGATAAGCATGGGATAGCCACTGAAGATAGATGAGATCAGATGCGGTAGACAGATAAAACCGATTAGATAGACAAAATCATCATTATACTACAGATATCAAAGGCATGATTCTCCCCTAATATAGCATGCATACTATATCTACCACAAATTCTGTTCGCATGTCTCCTTTGTCTATTGCAGGGAAAAGAAAAATGCTTTAACAATATGTTTTTCTCCTGTCATTTCAGAACACATTATGTTTGAGAGCAGAATAAAGACCACTTAGAAAAACCCACTAATTCAGTGCAAATGAAACATGCCACTATCTAGTGCCTGACCTCCCCTCTCTGCAGAGCTGGAAGTCAACATCCGTTGTTTCAACTGGAAAGTGGCACAGAAATCAGCACTGGTGGCAAAAAGAAGCAAAATTTGTTTGCAACATTCACAGCTTTTCTCCTATCTCCCTCTCAGCTTCACTTGTTGTTTTCTTGGTCTGGTTAGAGACACCAGACAAAAAGCTCTAGGAGAAGAAATAAAAGGAGCAGAAGGAAAATAGGGAGGGTAGCTGAGGAGAGAGGGTGGAATGGAAAATAAACGAAGCAGAGCAACTGGAAAAGAAAGGAGGAGAATGCAATAAAAATGTAGAGAAAAGGTTCAAGAATTTGAAAGTAAATTGACAGAAAATTCAGGGAAGCTCTTCCACAAGTGCTGTTACTTGTGGAGATGGATTCTACTTAGGAAAGGAGTTGGAAGCTAGGAAATGTGTTGCTGCTTCTTACGAGCGTTACCTCTGTAATCTGCAGCAATAAGATACAGTGTTATGGAAGTAATAAGTGAAAGAAGAAGAAATGAGGTAAAAAAAGGAAGGAAGAAAAATAGGATAGAGTGAATTTCTTGAAGACATCTTAAAATATGAAAACATTTTTAAAAATCTGTAACCTCACAAAATCCATTATTTTCTGTAGCTCTAAAGACTTTTAAAACAGCCATTCTGGGCTGCTAGCAAAAACAGCAGCAAAACCAAACCAGAAAAAAAAAACCCCTACTTTCTCAAACTAGTGAGAGAAGATTTTCCTGACTGAATTTCTCTTTACAACAAGATGAAAAAGTCAGATGTTCTTTTTTTTTTGTTCTTTTTTATTGCTTTAAGATGGAGTTGATGTGGATGTGAGACACCACTTATTTGTAACTGCAAGAGCTTCCCATGGACACCTATGGGACTTTGAGTTTATGTCCGTACTGCTAAAAGGAAAAAAAAATAGCCAAGATGTGAGCTAGGCATCCCTAATTGTTATCTCCCCCTGGCTCCATTTCAGGTTGTCCCAGTGAGTCCTTTTAAGGCAACCCTGAGCAGAGTGGTTGCCGGTCAGGCTGTGCCTGTTCTTGACCAAGGAGTAGCTTTTAGCCCTTGTTTATTTAAGAATATAGGTCTTTTATTTGGGAACAAGGTTCTACAGTACTCTAATGGGCTTCTTCAGGACCCAGAAAGAGAGATGAACCTGCCCATGGAGAAAAAACAGGGACAGAGATCTAGCTCAGAAAGCTCAGAAAGGTGAAGGTGAGCAAAGGTAGGAAGCAAACACTCATAAGGAGACTGTAAACTGAAGAGTTCACTGACTGTCACTGAAGTTTGATCTAAGAGAAAGCTGGATTTTTTTTCTTTGCTGGGAGTTATGGTTTTTAGTCTGTTCCTGTGTATATTGGAAAATGAAAGATTTTGAAATTTTACGCCCGAATTGTTGTAGCACTCATTGTTCTGGTGGCAGAAGGCATAGCCTCCAGATGGGTCTCAGAATCCAAACCATGTGAGAGCTAAATACATGCAAGCATAAACATAGAAAATATTCAGGCTGCACTGCAAATCTATAAAAATATGCCAATGAAATTGCCAGCCTATCACAGAAATTAGCATTGGAAGACAGCAGCATTTCTGGCCTAGTGCCCTCCTCTTTCCGCTACCTGTGAGAAAAACTATATAAACCCGTGTAAATCGAAAATAAGATTGTTCTTTACGGAATTTCAGATTCTGTTGAATTGTTCTGGGTTAGCAGGAAATTGCTCCTGGGTAAGCAACACACAAAACCGCACACATGCCTTGGCAGGCACAGAGCAATACAGAATTGCCCCTTGCCACTCCAAGCTAGAACCACTGAGCTCAAGAAAGACGTGCTGAGATAAAAGCTAAGAAAATAAGTAAGCATTAGCATCACAAAATAGCAAATGAGAAGCAAGGAAAATCCATTAAAAATGTGAAGTACCAGAAAGGTAAATGGCTTTATCAACCATGAATTCCTCTGCAAAACGAATGTGACAAAAATTCTTCTTGCTCTTTCGAATTGCTGTTATATCTCCACATTGCTCAAAGACTTCCTGAATAATTTCCTCTGTTGCATTTTCTGGTAATCCTCCTACAAACACTGTTTTACACCCAGGAGGTCTCTCTCTTGTTGAAGGTGGTGGAAGATCTAAGTAAAAAGAGAAATCACATTGGAATATAAAAATTTGTCTCCTAATCCACAGGTTCTATTCATTCTCATAATCATTCCCGGGCAACAACAGTTATTTTACATAGCATGGAGGTGTGACAAAGAGAGAAACAAAAATAATTCTAGAGATCACCAAATCTCTATTTGTAAGATTTCTTCAAGCTTGGGTTGTGTTTTAGAGTCTAATCTCTGCTCCTGGGGGTCATTTTCTAGGATCGACCAGAAGGCCTAAAAAGCCTAAGAGGACTTTTTTTTTCCTTTTTTTTTTTTCTTTTTCCTGCTCACCTTCTGTTAGAAAATAAGCAAATCCAGAAGTTGTTCTGTTTAAAATCAGGAGAGCTTCTGCACCAATTTGACCGCAATTGCAAGCAGAGGGGCAAATATGTCCAGAATCTGCACTCCACTACCTGTGTTTCAGACCCATCACTGGTTACGACCAGGAAGTTATGTTACTTCAGCCCTTCCGAAAACTGGGCCATATTGGGAAGTCTATTCCAGGGCACTTAGGCCTGACAGCTTTTCCCTGATCTTAGCATAATTTCATTTCTCTCTCAAAGTACAGAAGCAGAGCAAACAGAAAAACAAAGTGGAAAACATGGTAAGTGACAACATGATGAAAACATTCTGCTGGTTATCTGTTTTGTCTTGTTGCCAGATAATGGAACAGAGGCCAGAACAGAGGCAGGATAACCTACATTTGCAAGTGCTCATTTAACTGTGAAAGACCATGGGATGATGTGACTTCCAAATTTTATATACATACATATACATATACATACATGCGCACATTTAAATGAGCAAGCTATAACACTTTTGAAGGCTGTATAAAAATACACTGTCATAACACTTCACCTCATTTATATGTAGATTACTAGTGCACTCATTCCTCTAAAAATAATTCTCTAAGGATTCTCTTAGATTAATATGATTTAGGTTTTTGGCCCTTTACCACAGTACATGCATTGCAGTCTTGAAATATAGATACATATACACACACAGAGACAGTTTGATTAAACAATGATCTGGGTACTGCAAATCCAGAGCCCCAGCTATTTGCTTAATTTTCTCTTTTGTCTTCAGGGTGATGGTGAAAGCCACTGGTCTGATGGCTCTGAAACAAAACTCCTGGGGCTAGCATACACAAAATTAGATTTTGTGCTTTGTCCTCACGCTGCTGGCTCAGTGGGAAGATATTTCAATTTGTGCAAAGTCGCAGAAGGGGCGGAAAGAAAATTGGTCCCTGCTCTCAAGGAGCATCTTCAAGCTGTGTCCCAAAACGTAGCTCTGCTTCCCCTCCTTCCCCAGATTAGGGAATGTAGCTTGTTGGTACTTGGGTGCAAGGAGCTCTGTCACACAGAGCAGAATTTGGATGGAAACACCATAGCTACCTCCACTTCATTAAAAAAAAATCTTCATTACATAAATATTTTATGCAATATACTTAGGAAAATAACATTCTTTCATGAGACCCACTTACTTGGATTTGGAGGGAAGAGTGTGCAGCTTTTGCAGTGAATTATTTCTTTGACTACAGGCACATCTGTTGGTGGTGGCGGTGGCACTAACCCCATGCCTGGTATCATTGGGTTAATCGGAGTGATTCCAGTCATCATGCTAAGGCTTGGATCAAAGCCTGGTACACAGATTGAATCTGTAAATATACAACATAAAATCCTGGATTATAAATCTTGAAACTGCTCGTTATTAGCTTCTTGCACAGTTTTGCTTTAGGCATTTCTTTCCCAAAACATTGCTGTTAAAAAAACGAAAAAGAAGAAGAGGAAGTGAAAAAGGGGGTTGAATTTTCAGTGATCCATTACAACAAAAAAAAAGAAAGCTATGCATAAAGGAGGTAACGTTACATAATTTAATGCACTAATAAGTCTGAGTGAAAAAAATAAAGTGCAAAAACATGCACCACGAAGGTGTGTTATTATCTGTTTTTCTGTTTCCTAATGCTATTTTCTGTTTCCTAATGCTATTGTGTTGTTTACACTGCACTCTGACCCAGAGTGTGGAAAGAATATCATTTAATATCAATCTGCCTTCTTCATTTAATTGTCGGACAGCTTTATCACAACATAGCTTTCTTGCATAAGTGACCTTGGTTTATGAACACCTCAGAAAAAGCTCAATTTCTGGCTGTTTTATATAAGTCTTTAGTCAAGACTTCTAACCATTTTTTTCCTGGAATGTAAAATGCATAGAATGAGGTCTTTTTGAACCTTGGAATTAATTTTTTTTTGTCCTGTTATTTAATCGGATTAGTAGATTCTCTTCAACACACATATTATTAAAATACACCACCACAGTCCCATGAAGTAAAATGCCTATTTGGCAAATATTACTCTTTCTCCTTCCTGTTCTATTTGCCAAGAGTTCCATACATATTATTTAAAGCTGAAACAGATTTACTGGGGAGCACCAGTGCTGCAACACCATGAATTGTAATAAGCAGATGTTTTAGATGAACAGAGAGCCAACTTCTGAAATTTGCTTTTGTTAAAAACATGGCTTTGGGTTTCTTGAGGCATAATGAATAAAATATTTTGAGAGACCAATCTCTTTGTTGGCATAGCACTGCTGCTATTTGGCATCATCAATTATTTAAAAGAAGACAGTTACTTTGGTGTTCTACAGGTTTTCTGCTGAGTTTTCTGGCTAGCAACTGAAAAGTATTTAATGAGACATGTAAACGTGGGATTTGGTAGCTTGGGAGCCTGTTTGTTTTGAACAAGCAAAGAGGGAAACAAGGCTTATTTTTTTTTCTTTTTTTATGTTTAGGAAATTTGAATTACATTTTACATAAGTCAGTACGATCAACTGAATGCGAGCAGATATGTCTGTTCCTTCATCCTAAATCTGCCGAGAAACTAAACGGGTCAGCCTGCTGACCTTCCTGTATCTTGTTTTCTGCATCTGCAGAACAATTACAATAATATTCCCTTACTGGCAATGATGTGCTCACATTTTAATATCACTTTGCAGGTGTAAAGCACACTGTGAGCACTGCAATTATCATCACGTCCTGTGAAACATCCAGCAGCATCTTCTCCAGGACAGACAACGGAGCAATGAGAGCCTCTACTCCAGGAGAGAGGGTCTCTGTCTCTGCTGCATGCCCTGCTCCCCGTGCACCAGCTGCCTTCCCCACTTTCAGGCAGTTCTGTACAGCAAGCAGAGCAAGTGCACAGCAAGCAGGGATTTGCTTTAGGCTTACTGAAGACTAGTATTAATGAAAACCCATGATACTACATTACATTTTTTTTTTCAATAAGTGGGCTTATGAAAAAGGATTTGTTCTGGGTGTGATGCTTTTTCAGTATTGATGTATGTGCATTCCTTTTCAGATTAAGCTCTGAAACTCAGTCTGTCATTTATTTCATGGGATGGAGCACTGGCCATATTAAATATTCATGTTTAGTGAATGGTGGGAGATAAAGTCAGAGGTGAAAGGACAATATACAATTCAAAGAACTCCTCTGGCTATGCTAATTTGCTTGATCTCATTTTTAAAAGTCAGACTTCTGACAGTCACAGTAGGCCATCATAGGCATCATTCTCCTGCTGTGGAAGTCCGTCATTACTACTTACTGCTCAAATGGCCTGCAGAGCTCCATGTCAAACAAAGTGCCATATCATAATAGCACTGAATGCACCGTAACATATTGCAGCCTATCCTGGAAGCAGGGAGGCTGGAGCTAGCAAGAGGCCTATGAAGTTGTCTAGTCCTTATCTCTGGATATGCCGGACCAGCTACAGTCATACCCACATATGAAGCTTCATATTAAATTGAATAATCATGATAAACCCACAACATTATGAGACATGGATGGAGCAGGTGGAAATGAGCAAGAGAAGCAGGAGAGAAGGCCAAATTTTTTATGTCTCCTATGCATCTTTTCGGTCCCATGTGAAAGTGGGAGGAAAACATCATCATCTGATGACTACTACCATGGATTGTATTTAATTGTTACTGCTTTCTCTTTAAGACATTTCAGCTTCTCTACAAGCTTAGAGAACTGACACAGCAGCAAACTCTACCCAAAATACAGACACAAACTATAACCCAAAGCAAAGATGGCAGAAGGTTTCAATGAGGTACAGTTTTCTGAATATACCTTTGGCAGTGCTACAGATGATACAGATGAAAACAAAGCATCTAAGGGAGTTAGCAACATGGAAATGCATGTTCACAAACACTGCTACTATGGTGTTGAAAGAGAGCTGAGAAGGAGAAATTTTAGGTTACATGCCAACCAAAGGGGATTGGGGATTTCAACAGAAAAAAATGCTTTCCCAGTAATTCCTGTCACGTCCAAGTAAACGCCACTCTGTAAGTAGCTATGCTTGTGCCAGATAATTATACTGCTTTGTCATCAGTTTTGCCTCCAAGTAGGATCAATCTACTACAGTACGAACAGACTGCTGGGGGACAACGGTCCCGAAATGCTTGTCTAGGGGCTTTGGGACTCCGTGTCTCAGAAGGTGAATGTGTTGAGGTATATTGAAGCGGACTGAGTCGATAATTCTTGGAATCAGTATTCCACTTCTTCAATGCACTAATCCAAAACCAGCTAAGGTCAATGGTAAGACTACTGATGGCATGCATCCAGGCCCAGGTTTACTTCTTCTGTGGTCTTGGATAGGTTTCTTCAGTGGTAAATTGAGAATGAAATACTTTCATATATCACATGAACATTGAGAGAATGTGATAGTACCCTTTGTAGCATATCCTGAAAATGAAAAACATTCTCTGAATGCTAAAAACTATTGCTATGCATTGCAGTAATGGAAATTCAATGCATATTCAGTCATGTGTACTTCCTGTATTTATCCGAATACCTCTTGCATACATTTGAACACGTCTCGCAGTCCAGCTCTTGGAAGTGGGCTGCCAAAAATATAATGTCTCAGGACTTGATATGGGAAAATTCACTGTAATCATATTTTAGTGTTCTCTAAAAAGATAGGTATTTTCTTATTTTTTTAATTCTTACTGGTTAATGTGTGGTGAGTACACTTAAAATGCAATAGACAATGATACAGGGTACTGTACCAGGAAGAACTTTGGACTTTATTTTTTCTGGATGTTATGCTTTTATTTTACTGTCCAGTTCCTGGTAGAGTTTCAACTCATCTAATTTTGGACAGCTACAATGTAGAAATCTGTATCTGAGCTCTTCATTTCAGGCTCAGTAAAGAGAAAGAGAGATCATGTTTAGTTTAGATGAAGCTAAGCACATCTGAAAAACGTGGTGCCCTCTGCATTGACTTCTGAGGTGTCTAGCTCAAAAGCAGTCATGTAAGCATGGTAAACTAAATCATGGGATATTTCTTCTGTGCCTTCACCATTCTGATCCTTGTAGCATCCCTTTTGATGATTCGAGTTTACTGTTTTAGAGATTATCATCCTATTGAAAGTCTGGGGCTTTATTCTTCTCATGTTCAAAGTTTTGTTTGAGTCACCTAGCTTGGTTGCTTCACACTAGTCCTTTTCTAAACATTACAGTGAGCAACCTCATGGAGATAGGATGTTCTTCAAAGTACTTCCTTCTGTCCAGTACTACCCCTCCACTATTTTCTCCTTGGGTTCAGCTGGATTTCTGAACACTGATGATCTTGTTTAGACCCCTGAAGAGACTGGTAGTGCTTCAAACTGTGAAGACAGTCTGCAGATGAAATGGATCTGATCAGGGCTCTGAGAGTGCACAGAAAAAAATGACTGATAAAATTACTGGAAAAGAGACCCAATAAATTCTCCACATTGCTGACAAGATCCGAAAAAATACTGAGTTTAACTATATTAATACTGCAGAGTGGTACAATAATGAGAGCTGGATATACAGCTCTTGTCTAGGGAGAGGAGACAGTCATCCATCAGTGCCACCACAGCAGTCTGCTTCATGTCCTGGCATAATGCCTGTGGAACAGGACTGGGACACTAGTGTTATCTAGGGATGGAGACAAATCCTGCTTAACTTTCTGGTAAATTTGTTGGTCTTTACAAACAAAGATACAGATAGAGTTACGTCAGATTACAGGAACATGAGAACCAACCTTAAGAACATAAATTTTTTTTGACAGATACATTTCATTATATGGTTATGCATACATAACTATGCTATGTTTAGCATGGATAGATACATTATATTTACAGATAACACATCTCAAGATGAAAATAAGTAACATAAAGATCATACCATTATTTTTAAAGGGATATATACATATACATGCACACACACACATGCTTATGCAGCCAAGGGTTTATGATCTCTTAGAATTATAAATACTAATATGGTAGAATATAGAAAACTTACATTTTCAATATGTTAATGAATAATTACTAAAAGCATTACAATGAGAACATTCAGTGATGATAAAGAGCTGAGTAAGAAATGGAAGAGCATATGTCGCTCAAGTTAGAGCCCTGAAAATATTGTGTGAAAGGATTGAATAATGACGTATTTGTAGAAGAAAGGAAAAGCATTGAACATTATTGTTTTAGGTCTATTTTCAAGTCCTACCTAAATTAATCAAAACAAGAGTTTGTTCCTATTTCATCTTACAAGAAATTGGCATAGTAGACAACAATGAAGACCTCTGAAGAACAAATATTTCAAATTGGAAAGGGGCAGAAGGGCAAAAAGA